AAAAAAAAAGTATATGTATAAAAATTACTCTGCATTGAATTTATTGATTTATTTATTTACTCCAACTAGAAAATTGAGTATTGTGTTAATGTATTTTATAAGACTCACGGTGCTCGATGAAATGGCTAATTTATTTTAGCGTATACATAAATAGCTGGCAATTTTCAGTGAGACAGCCTAATGAAAATGATGCTATGAAATTGTCTATACTATGAGGAGTGATGGAGTCAAGTTATTATTGGGTGAGTGCTGCGTGGCAGCGAGCTGGCCATCATGTCTTTGAACTTTTGAACTGCTACTTGGTCGTGTGATTGATTGGTTTTGGGATCGGCGCGCCGAGTTAACTTCGTATTTTGGTTGGGGGAGCAGATAAGCAGCGCGCCGCGTGATTTTATGGATGTTTAGTTTAAACAAGATGGTTGGAAAATTTAAAGTGTGTTAGCAGAGCAGGCTCGCGCCATAGGGGAAGGCAGAGAGATGCTCGTAGGTACCATTAGATGTCAACACTGATGTTGCGATTGCTGCGGATGAGCTGAGTACGAGCGAATTTGGCAGGGGCAGCATGCATCATCTTGGTAAGAGGAATGTTGCCTTTGTTCTGTACTGAGTGTGCGATCCCGCAGCGACTTCGCCCGCCTTCAGCCTCCCCTGGCCGTGCCCACGCTCTGAGCGCTGCGCCCTCGGCTCCCGCCCGGCGCTCCGGAGCTGTTCGCCGCCCGTGGGCCGCGGCTCCGGCGGCCGCCTCGTCCCCGCTGCGCGATGCTGCACTTGTTCCCGGGCTTGGGCCGTGATAGGGCCGTTCGGGCAGCGCTGCTCGGCTCCCAGCCTTCGCCGGCTGCAGAACTTCTGCGGGAACCTCTGCGCGGCGACTGCGCCGAGCTCTGCTTCTGATTAAACCGAATAACTCGACACCTGCATTTTACCATTTGCTTCAAGTGCTTTATCCCGTAAACCCGGCGATTTCCGAGCTTCGCAGCCCTCGCTGCGCACAGCCCGTACCGCTGCGCTCCGCGCCCGCGGGCGGACCGCCGTGCCCTGCCGGCCCGCTGCAGCCCCCGGCCGGGCTGAGGAACGCGTGCGGGCACCCTTTTGTTTTTTGCAGGGATGAAAGTGACATGGCTTTATTTGGCTCTTCAACGCTCTTCCCGTGCCCGAGCCGTTTGCAGCAGGCTCGCAGCGAGACATTTGGAAGCTGCTAGCACTTGCCTCTGCCCCCCCAACCGCCCCCCCCCCCGCCCCTCCCCATATATATATATATATATATATATATATATATGTTTTTTTTTTTAAATATATGTATTTAATTAAAAAAAAAAACCCAAAACCCTAGAAACAAAAAAAAAACACGGCCTGTTCAAACCAGAAACCAAAACTACTGGAACAGGCTAAAAACGGGGCTGACACCAACACTATTAGCTGAAAAAAAATTTCCATTTCATTGCAACTATGTTATTGTTTACTTTGCCATACACATCCTAATATGGTTACCTCCCTGTCAAAGCGGCCGAGCCGGGCTGAGGGGCCCCCTCGGGGAGACGCTTCCAACTGCTGCTCAGACAATAAGAAACAAACGGCGCAACTCCACAAAAGGCTGCCCGGAAAAGAAGTGTCAAATCCATCCCGCGGAACTCTTCCCGCCGCCTCCCGGCCCCGCGTGTACGTAAAGCTGCGCCGGGGCGGCCGGGCCGCGGGCTTCGCTGCTGGGAGGGGTGTGTGGGGGCTGGGGGGCGGCGGGGCGCGCTTTTCTCCTCGCTCCGCTCCGCGCTCCGGCCGCGCGGAGCCGAGTGGCGGCGGGCCGTGCTGAGGCGGGCCGGCTTGTGGCGCCCCGCGGCGGAGCGGCCCCGCGCCCGCAGCGCCCCGCC